AGGAATCTGAGTCCATCAGATTTAGTAGCTAGTAGGCTAGTGTATTTGTATGTACATACCTAAGTCCATCAAGTTCAGTAGCTGGTAGGCTGGTAAAGAGCAATGGCCTCAGAACAGAGAAAAACAATCTATCTATTATGTATGCTCAAACAGGAAGTCCAATACTGAGTTATAGCACACTAACACCTATAATTTTGACACTTTAGACCTTCCACAACAATGTTTCTTCTCCAGATAAGTTGTGGTAATATTTACTAAAGAGAACTTCCTCTGACAATGTTTCCTCAATAAATACAACATGACCTTATGTATATTACTTGTATTACCCACCCACCACTACCCTTTGCTATGTCTGATTATGTACTTAGCTGTAGGTTGGTAAATGGAGCAACCAAGCATGGAACAGATAATAGAAATAACAAATAAAGGAGTGAGGCTAGAGCCTTTTATAATGGTGACTCCATTACACAATCTCAAATAACAATTTGATTTAGTAAGTACATAATGACCTACTAGTTGTTGAGTCTACAGTGCCAATCATATGTATATGTACTAAAACTGTTCCCCATCAACATTCAAAAGAATTCTAATGGCTACTATGAGAGGCTTACCACATCTCATGCTATGCATGAAATACAACATGCTCATTCAGATCTTCACCCAGCCCACACTATTCAAGGCCATGAGATGATCAAAGGATGTTTGCTGCCATATCCTCCCATGAATGCATACTCAGCTGACACATATGTCCAATCAAAGCCCTGTACTTTTCATCAGTAAGCATTCCAAATACACCTGCAGATATATGACATTGTACTGTATACATTAGCACAAAAAAAAAAAAAACTACACTATGTACTAAAATAAGAAACAAAGAAACTTGATTTACTGTGTGAGCCTGTAAGGATGAAATTTGGCAAAAGGTCTAGAAGCTGTGAGCAGAATGGAAAAAAATCAAATATCAAAGACCACTGAAAAAGTAAACAGGAAGAATAAGAAAAAGGAATAAAGGTTCAAAAGCATTAGGTAAGGCTCTACCAGGGTTCGAACCTGGGTTTCGGGAAACGTACGCTGCAATTGTTGCAATCAAAATCCCGAGTGATAACCACTACACTATAGCGCCCCTGTATGTCAGTTTCGCGTGCTGTGTGATGATCAAAATGAGATCGACATTCGCCAAGCGAAAAAAGCAAGGAAAAAAAAACTGGGTCTCAAGACCAGGGTTGGAACCTGGGTTTCGGGAAAAGTGATGACCACTAAACTATAGCGCCACCGCTTTAGGTTACACGTTGTTCACCTCCTTGGTTGCGGTTTCTCATCGAGAGATAAACCGGCAATGAGCAGAAGAACACTTCCTACTAAGCACCCACGTAAACGAAGACAACACGGAAAGAAGTCAGTCGTTATGTACCCGATCAGTATGTACCAATTTGTACGATGTACGAGTTTGCTGCGAGTCAGAGAGTGCATGCAACGGTATAGATAGGTATATGCGTCGGTCGTGAGGAAACTCCAGTGTCAAAATCGAAAAGTTCAAAGTCAAAGTCACGAAAAATAAGTCAAGTCAGATTCAACATCGCCGCAAACCTTGTCACATCACCAATCCCAACACGCCCGCGACCGCGCCGACGACACCTGCGGCTTTCACGCCCATACCCATAGCGCCGTTGCCCTTGGAGTTGTCAGAGGTCGTTGAGGAAGTGGTTGCTGCGTTCGCGCCGGAGCCAGTGGCGGATGGAGAGGAGGTCGAGATGCCAGGTGTTGCGGTGGGGTAGGCTGAGCCCAGAGGCTTGATTTCGAAGGGTGAAGAGGATACGAAGATCTTGGGGAGGAGTTAGTTGTGTTGTCAGAATGTCAGGGAAGCCTAGACGCACGTCAGTCGCGTTCAATGTGTTGGCGAACTGGATTGTGTAGCCTGTTCCTGGAGCCGCGTTGAGCATGTCGGCGGTGATGGTTTTAGAGCAGTCAAAGTTATTTTGAATGCCGATGATCGCGATGGGGGACGTGAGGACTTTTGGATCCTGCGGTATTGAAGAGCGTTAACACAGGGCGAAATAGGAGACAGGAGCTCTCACGCTGTTGGCTACGAGGACCGTGAAGGTGGGATGCGCGACCGCAACCGGGTCTTTGCATGACCACGAGAGTGTGTTGATGGATTTGGCGACTGGGCATGGAGCACGTCAGCGGCCATCGACTTCAACCAAACGACATATATATACGTACCCCACCAAACATCAGAGCTCGGCGAAAAAATTTCCCAGTCAGCCGCGGCAGAGGCGACGAGGGCTGCAACAGCTGCGAGGTGAGTGAACTTCATTTCGAATCGGTAAAGGAATGTGGGAGACAAGGTATGGAAAAAGAAGTTCGGTGGGATCCCGCGTGGTACGACCTCGACCAAGGAGAGGAATGGTGCGGAGTTTGAAATTCTTTCCTTGACCCGGTGAACCGTCCACCTCCGCGTGAATGATTGCATGCATGGACAGACTGCAGTCCTGGCAGTCATCTGCCAGTGATATCATCAATACCTACCTCAGTGGGCGCAACGCTCAAGGTGCCACCGTCTACATATATAAACGCCCGGGGTTCTGTTGAGCTCTTGGAGTCGTCTGGATGTCTAGATCTACTTCCAGTTGCTTTTGACTCCGGGTTGGCTGGCCATCTCCGCCTCCAGAACTTTCAGACACAGCGTCGTTCATTCTTCGGATATAATGGGCCGGCTGAATTGATCCCGAAAAGTATACAAATATATCGTGCGCATATCGAACATACCAGTCACCCTCTTTATTAATACACCAATGCCAGTTTACTTTCCGAACGTCATGAGAACAAATCTCAAATTAACTCTATACGTTCTCTCAAGGCTTTAACACGGACGCTCCGCGGCGAATGGCAGCGATGAGTCTTCTCTGAGTTTTCTCCGTGGGCGACGGGACAGCATTCAAATTTTCCAGCCTTCCACTAATCTTTATTACAACGAGTCCACTTGTTACACTTCAGGGCGACATTTCCGTATGAAGTCGAGGACATCAATACTTGTATTTCCTATGGAAAAGGATATATAAATTGACTTGTCACGAAGAACCAGACAGCAGTGTATGTTAGAAATCGATGCACAGATTTCCGGAAGCTTCGAAGGCAGCTGGCGATGCGGAGCGTACGTGCCTGTCTGGGTTGCCTTTGCATCTTGTCTCTCAGTCACTTCTGAGCGTTGCTTAGTGCTTCGAGTTGGTAACATCAGTGTGTATATCAATCGTTTCCTCTATTTCTATCGAAATGATGTTCCTGCCCCAAGCCAATTGGATTCATGTCCTGCTTGTTATAATGCGTTGATCCGAAGCACATGTCACAAGTAGCCAAACCGAATGCAAGTAGCTACTTATTTCACGAAGGAAAAATAACAAGAAGTCAGTCATCATCGGTATGTGCCGATTGTAATCGCTATACGAAGTCTGCTACGAGTTGAAGAATGCATGGTATAGGTATATGCTAGGTATATATATTGATATGACAAAGAAACTCCAGTGTCGACTCAAAAGTCACAAGTCATAAAATATCCGAATCAGCATCATCTCACCCATCCCACTCAGGCCTCGCCGCCCACTCGCCCAATTAACTTCGAAACTTACTTACATCACCAACCCCAACACGCCCATGACCGCAGTACCGACGACACTCGCGGCCTTCACACCCATGCCGACGCCGACAGCGCCATTGGGCTTGGATTCGGAGTTGTCAGAGGGCACTGAGGGACCGGGTGCTGTGTTTGTGCCAGAGCTGGTTGGGGATGGGGAGACGGTCGAGAACTCAGCGCTGAGTATGGGTGGGGATGCGGTCCGGAACTCAGTGCTGTGTATGGCAGGTAGGGGGACGGTCGAGAACTCAGTGCTGTATATGGCAGGCAGGGGGGCGGTCCAGAACCCAGTGCGGGGTATGGGGGATGGGGAGGCGGATGATATGATGCCGGGTGTGGTGGTGGGGTAGGCGGAGTCGGGGGGTTTGATTTCGAAGGGTTCGGAGGATATGAAGATCTAGGAGAGAAGAGTTGGTTGTGTTTAGGATGTCATGATGGGTTGGGGAGGAGGGGGAAGAACGGGGAAGAACGGGGAAGGGGACGGAAGAAAGAAAGGCGAGGAAGGGAAGACGTACATCAGTGGAATTCAACGGTTCAGCAAACTGGATTATATAGCCTGTTCCGGGAGCTATATTGAGTAGCTGCATGTCGGTGGATGTCGAGCAGACAAGGATGTTTTGCATGCCGATGAATGCTAAGGAGGATCTGGGGATTTTTGGATCCTGTATTATTATGTTATAGTGTGAGCACCAGGGACATAGCAAGAGACACAAATGGAGAGTGGAATATCGGGGACAGAAGTTCTTACGCTATTGGCTAGGAGAATTTGGAAGGAGGGGTGAGCGATAGAAACGTCGCATGACCATGTGAGTGCGTTGGTGGATTCTGCGACTGGTCAT